AGAAATACAACGTATCAAACCAACTTTAGATAATATCTTTTTCTATAACAAAGAAAAAAGTCGTGGATGATAATTGCAGAAATAACAATTATATTTTAAGGCTTATTTATTTGGCGGAACACATATTAAGATTTATTCCAATAATAGTTGAAGTGATATAGATGTGTGGTCATTGGGGTATGCGATTATATTCCAATAATTTTTTTCCCAGTTATTTATATGCGTTATTCTTCCAAGTTAGCAACCACAATTAAGTTGACCTGCAGATATATAATATTAGTATGCATGCATTATTAATATCAATATAGCCACCAGAAAACAGTTGACCTGTAGTTGGGCATTTGAGTTATGAACCCGAGCTACCAAAGTCTGGCCAGAAACTGAGAAAACATGGAAATTGAAGGAGGCGGGGAGGTATTTATTTCCACGGCCCAAAATAATGCTTCTGCAGAAACAGCAAAACCTGTCAGATGGCATTCTTCATTGATTGACGAACGTACAGGCAGCACATGCACGAAAGGGAAAAGATAAAAAAAAAGGGAGGGAATTAGAGTTCAGGCCTACTGAACTGCTACAATGAAATCAATCACGTAGCTTCAGAAGGCAACTTTTTTTTTTTTTTGAACTCCTCTTTTCTCCACTGAGAGTGAGTAGAGATATGAACCTCTACATTTAACATTCATGTAAATATATCAATAGCAAGCTTTCAGGCTTCCTTATTGGTCATAATTAATGGCAGATCCAGGATTTAAAAGTCAAGTATACGAAATTTACCTTAAAAACTCGACGGTATGAGTGAATTTAATTCATTAAAAAAAAAACACTTAGTCAGGGGAGACGTAATAAGCATTACCATCAAATATGCATATCTATATATAAATAAAAGCTTAACAAAAATAAATAAAAATAAATGCAATGCTACACAAAACTAAACTATTTAAATCTAATACTTTACCCTACAAGGCTTAGAAATCTTAAATTCATCAATTATCTCTTCATTATCAATATTATTAACAAACTCTCTTTCAATGTGGAGAATCAAGCAATCAATAAGGAATTCATCAACTATGGTGCTCCGAAGTCTATTCTTAATAATTCTCATACATGAAAAAGCTCGTTATGTTGTTGTTGTAGAAACAAGAAGAGTAACACCAACTAAATCGACTTGTAAAGCAAATGGTAGTTTTCTGCCAAATTTGTTTCCACCAATTGTTGACATAACTGAAGAAGAGTAGTGAGGTCCTTAAAGCAGGGAAGGCGATGCATATCATTTTAAAAATACCTCAACTCAATTTCTAAAGCTTTCAAGTCACTTGGACTGAAATCAGTATGATAGAATTTCTTAGCAAGTTTACATAGATGCCCAATATTGAATGATTTTAAGGAATTACGAGGATCCAATGTTAAGTTAAGAATAAAAAGTTTAATTATTTGCTCTGGAAATCTGTCATTTAACTCCCTTAACATGCAATCTATCACATCATTAAATACATCAATGCGATAGTAATATTCAACTATAATAAAATCTTTTTGTTGACAAAAACGACCACAAATTTTCTGGCTTTATGTGGTTAGGATGAGGTTTGTTCGGCGGCACGATTCGTTAAAATAATTATTTTTGTGTCGATTTATACGATCAACACTAGACATACCCATTCGCCGAGTGGGGAATCGGGTAAGTGGAAAGCAGCAATATAACAATCATTTTATACAAGTTTTTTTACGATTCGCCGATTTCTAAGAAAATTATTCTTTGGAAGGGAAGGAAGAGATATTTACAAAATATAATAAAGAAGAGTTATCACTCTACGGGTTTCCTCATTCCTATGGTAGGGACTCATATAACGAGAACTCATATCAGGAACATCAATACCACGTTGTTCACAAAATGATACCACACTTATGCATAAATCATCCAAGTCATGTGCCCTCATATCTTGGAACTGTGATTTTGTGTTTTCAACAAAGTTTAAAGCACTTAAAATATCTTAAGTTTTTGTCTGAAATACTTGACAAAGAAAGTTGGTTAATCCCATAATTTTATCCATCAAAAGGAATGAAAACACAAATTCAAAAGACATCATAGCAATATAGTTACTCTCTGCATTGCCACGAAATTGCTGGTTAGGTCCATAATCACTGATTTCCTGGAGAAGTATTTTAGTCTTTTTAAATAAACTCATCAAACTTGTAATAGAGGCAAAGTGAGATCCCTAACAAATGGCTCCAGCTCGTTTCAAACTACGACCTTGATTAAGTTTTCTACCTGTCTCAAGTTCCCCAAAATCCAACAATTCTTTGAGTTCAACTTTTCGAATTAAATTTAACTCATTACGGCGCTTAGCAGAAGTACTAACAAAATTCCCAATATTAGTCAACGTTAAAAAAAAAATCCATACCCTAGTGGGTTTGGTCTAGTGGAAAATTGAACGGGCTAGGCCACACATGTTGGGCGAATGTGATCAGGCTCCTTAATGATGTCATGGGTTCGATTTTCCTAATGTTTAACGAACCTCTTAGGAAGAGCTTTCCCTTAACCTGTGCATGGCTCGGGGAGGTGACACTCCTGCCATTTTTTTTGTAATTAAAAAAAAATAACCATACAACTTTTACATCTTTCACATGTTTATATTGCTTTTTATTATTTTTGTTAAAGGAGAAAGTTTGAGTGTGCTAGGCTATTGTTTTTGTTAAAGGGAAAATTTTGAGTGGGTTAGGTTTGAGTAGACAGAAGAAATTTGATTGTATTGGGAATTGGGTAATTTTTAATTTAGCAAAAAATGGAGTAGTCGCTGTCTACCATGCTCTTAGGATAGGACCGCCCCTAGTGGGTTGGGTTTGAATAGGCAGACAAAATTTAATTATATTAGATATTGAATAATTTTTAATTTGACAAAAAATGAAGTAGGCGGTTGCCTACCCTGCTCTTAGGGTAGGGACTACATATAACATTGATATACATGGGTGCATTCATTGTTTTTGTTCATACTGGATTTGACTTACCAAATAAAGGGATTGGACTTTTAGATACGCACCACCATCATCACTGTTCCATTGCTGAATCACATGGAGGATTTTAGTACATGCGTCTCTCTTATCTCTATGCGTCAATTTGAAGACAAAAAAATCATCACCATCTAAGCTTTGTTCCTAGTTTTCTTCTTTTTTCTGTGGCTCGGGGCCAACAAAAGCAATGGTAGAGTCCTTTTTGGTACAATTAAATTGGCGTTTTGTCTTTGTGGCTTGCACTATAAATTATAATTATAAGGTGGACTAACTAATCCACTCATTATTATAGTCAATTATGGACAACCCAAACAAAAAACATGTATTATACTTCCTAAATGTTGGGGTAAATGACAAAGAAGAAGTTACGTAAACATTTAGGAAGTTGCATGGAAATTCGATAAATATTGTAAATCTGATGTTCTGTCTACTACAAACTACTATATAGTCCAAACAAAGCACAAGATCCAATGCTGATGAGACAGAGATAGTGATGGTCACGTGGCTGGGCGCCGTGGTTGGAAAAGAATTTGATTGAAAGATACTCTAAGGTCATTATTGCCCTGCGCGTCCACAAAATGTTAATTCGTGATGTGTGGCACTGGAGCTCCTTTTGCGATTCCATCAAGATTCACATGTTTTTAGAGAAGAAATTTCTTGGTTGATGCCTTAGACAACTTAGGTCACGAGTTGTCCCTTTCCTACGTGGAAAGTTGGACACCCTTTACACACAGTGCATGTTTTCTTTTTGGACCTCTTTGAGTATGTGTGTCCGAGAGATTTCGGGTTGTAATGTCTCTTTCTTGCGAAAAAAAAAAAACTTGGGCAACGATCAACCAGAAATTAAAAATAATCATATCGGCTTGGGCTGCGTTGCCATGGAGTTTGAGCTTTTATGATACCTGATGGATTAGGCAGAGCTTTCCAACGTATTTCACTGATCAGGCCGGAATAAGCAATAGCCTCCCAGAGAATTTGCTCAGGGAAACCAGCCCCTCTTTTCTTCTATTTTTTTTTTGTCAGAATCTTTTATTGGTTGAAAATGACAAGTTTCGAAAAGTTTGGTGCCTTGAGCAGATTTCAGGTGAATTTAGAGGCCTCGAAAGACAAAAAAGAAATTCATGGGCCCCTTTTTTTTTGGTCGAAGTAGGCCCAATAACATTAAACAACTATAAAATCCCGCATTTGATGGAGCCCAAGAGACAGGATAAGACTACATGTAGGCTCAAACAAAAGAACCTATCTCTGCTCTGAAAATAGCCACGTTGGGCCTTGGGGTTGAGCGATCACGGATCCAAGTACCCATCAGCAAAAGGCTTAGATTTTTTTTGTTTTTTGTTTTGGTCAGGACAGCAAAAGGCTTAGTAACATTCAAAATCCCCGAAAATATCGTTAATTAAATAAAGAGCTCAAAAAATAAAATGAAATATAAAGTAGAACGCTGAATGTGACATTCAGTATCGATTGTAACGTATGTAAGTATGCATTCGGAAAAGAAATTAGAAAAGGTTGCAACTTTAGGCGGTGGCGCTGAAACCCAAACACTAAAGTCATATCGTCCGCAACCACCACAACACTCACTTCATACCGAAGCAACATACCCACCATTCTCAGAGTCTGAATCCATCAGCTAAACAAGGAAGAACTGCTAAAAAAGGAAGAAAAATAAACACAATATATGATTTTTCTTATTCCGACATTAAAAATCTGGACTGGGGTCAAATTGCAGATCTGTTTCGGACAATGTAAGCCAACCCAAATCCATCGTTTTCACCGAGCTCATAGAACAGCCAATATATAGTATATGCTTACTGTTCTATCAATTGAAAATTGTCAACCTTGCGCCGTTGCGCACTCAAATTGGAAACAGATTGAGACCACAATCAATCACAATGGTAGACAAAATGCAGAGCAGGGCATCGAGTGCTCGTGTTTTCCGATCCCGGATTCCGAC